GGCAGGTCTCCCCAAGAGGAAGGGCCTTTATTTTCTCTTGCTGCCATCATGACAGTTTTTTGGCTTCCCATTTTTTTCTCAATAGCAGGCCAAGGTGCTTCCGTAGGCAGGGCTTCCTGCCTTTTTCTGTGTCTGCCCATTCGTTTCAGAGCTGAGCCAACCTATCTCACTGCTGCAGGTGTTGTCTAAATGCTCTGCCTCTGCTAGGAGCGCTACAAAACCCCTGCCATTTGGAGAGAGGCAGTTTTCAGCATCCGTTTGTTGGATATCAACTCCACACTTTTCATTTAGTGCCTCAAGGGACTTTATTTGTACTGGCTTCTCCTTGTTTTGGATGCCAACCAAGGCTGTAGATATTTTTTAAGTATTTCATACTGCCTGATAGTTTCTATAGTTCCTTCCATTCAGTCTGATGAGTGAATGAGTTGTAATGAAAATAACATATTGGAGAAGCTTGGCCTTGGGTTCTCTTTTAGTTTTGTGTAAGCTGCATAACTGCTTCACACCGCTTTGCTCATTTGCTTTGTTTTGTTAATTAGTGAATGTGGCATTAGGTGGTTTTAAATGCACGGCCCCTGAGATACTAGTAAAAAGCAGTGGTATCTGGTAGCTGATGGAATGGCTCCTTAAAATGCAGATTGTTCTATAAACACAGGGGACAATCCCACATGAATTTAATTTAATAATGTTATTAATATTTGTACGCATTAATTAGTGGATACTTATTTTTATCCTTGAAATGATAAAATGTGTCCTTGAATATAAAATGCATTTATTTATTTATAAATGTATTTTAAAACATATCCTTGAATATAACATTTATTTAAGAATATATAAAAAATGTATCCTTGAATAAAAATTTTATTTTTGAAATGATAAATGTATCCTTGAAAGACTGGGGCTTTTGAAGAGTCTTCTGATGTCTAAAAGCCAAAATCTTCTCCATTGAAATGTCCTATCTAAATGGAAAATAAGGAAGAAATAAAGACATGAAGAAAAAATTAGCATATTGCACAGCCACTTGACAAATGCCAGAAGTATCTAATTGTGCTAATGTTGGGAAATGGACCAATACTGATCTGGAGTTTTTGTAGATTCAGAGAAATAGTTTTCCTTTCTATAAAGGGGATCATTTGCTGCTCTTTAAACAGTACAAAAGCTGCTTAATAAATGGGAGAATGGCTATGAAAGATGCTGTTTACCAGTTCTTAGACGGATTTAGTTTTAAAGTCAGATTCTTAATTGAAGCAAAGAGGCTGAACTGTGTATGAACAGAATGTCTATCTAAGGAGGATAAGACCACAGTTTCATTGTGCATTGGATCAAAGTCATCTTTGTTTTTTTAGGGAATGAGTCTGGATGCTAAGTGAGCCCCAAGACTAAATTATACTTGTAGTCTTGTTTATTCTATGACTTTTAATCCAATTCATATATATGTTTTTCATTTCCTCTTTGATTACAACTGTGTTTTCAATATCTCATTCATGAGCTCGGTGCACTCGGAAGTTCAAACCAGTCAAGAGTAGGCATGTTCTTTTTGGACCATGTATAGCTCTTTTAATTATAAGTCATCTCTAGGATGTACACATATCTATTTATACTTGTAACTTGTGTGTGCATGTTTGCAATTTTAATAGTAGATGGGATACTTTTTTCCAATCTTTTTTCAACTAAGCATAGCATTTAACCCATGTGTGCATTACACTCATGTATGGATCTCTCTGTAGTTTTAATAACAAGCCTCCATGTACATCAGTTTAGATCACCTAGTGAAAATGGTTTTATTTACTGGACAAACTTTCTTTCCTTCTTCCTCATCCTGCAAACAAAGCAAAACACAACCCTCCAGGTTAATATTAAACACTTTGAAACTAAAAGGACAAAGAATTGAGTAAAGATATTTAAAATAGAAAACTATTGTCTCCCCATTTTCCCTACTCTGCAGTCATAATCACGACAGCCCAAATTTTGGTTTTACCTGGATTTGATGCTATTCCTTCAACTTTACCCTGTTGCTGTTGAGCTCAGCATATATAGCAATTTAGTTAATGGACTTTATTTTCCCTCAGCTGTTCTCATCTTTCTCTCTCAGGTGGTATGAACTCATCATTTTAAAACCATCTCCTTGATAAATATTTTAAAATCAGTCAGTAAAGATTATTAAATATTAAAATGAGTATTAGACCAGTCATTGGCTGAAAACATCTATGTTTGTGAGTGAGACAGTCAGTTTGCTTTGGGGCTCCATGATACAGTACCAGGGAATGTCAGACATCCACTCAGTGTCTCCAAGTGCTAGACTTTTTCATTTAGATGCCAGCTTTAGCTGAACAATGTGTTAAAACTCATTCAGTCAGACAGCTCCCTATTGGCTAGGCTCCTATGTCTGAGGAGGTTTAAGAGCTCTGTTTATTGTAACAAAGAGCCTGGAATAAATTATGTTTCATAAATTGGCTCCAGGTTTGTCTAAGACAGTAGCTTCAGAGTCATCTATTTTACAAGCATTACAAAATTTGATCACTTGCAATGAGATGACACTTCTTTTTGAGGATATGGTATCACCAAGTACCAGCTACGCCCAACTGGACTTCCCTGGCTGTTGCAAGATGGCAGGATACCAGCAAATAAACACTTTGACAGTGAGCTGCTCTGCTAGCCCATGACCTACTCCAAGTTTATGGGTTCCACTGCGGAGCCAAGCACATCAGCCCCAGAGTAATGAGGCACTTGCAGACACACACATGTGTGCACAGGACTAGCACTCTTTCCTTTAGTGGAAATATCTTTGTGGTTAAAGTTGGATTTGTTCTTAAGCACTTTGATCAGGGCCTTGACTAGGGTAACCAGAAACATAAAACCAAAAGGAGATGCATCCTGTTCTTAATCTTGCTCTGTAAATTGGGCGATGTTCCTATTTTCCCCCCTTCCCTCCCAACCCTTTCTCCACACCACCACCATTTTGCTTTAGGACATCTCACAAAAGCAAGTGCAGGTGCTTAACATCAAAGAGCGGCAGGAACCAGGACAGTCCTTTGTTCTCTCTGATACAACTCGCTTACTCTTTTACCAGTCCTTACTGATTTGGTTATACCGAACAGTGTGATTACTGTTCATTTAAATGCAGAGCCCTGATTAATTTAACAGATGCCATGGGAGGTGCAAGGGCATTTCCTGGGGGTTTAATGACCAGTTAGCTGGTCCGAAGTACATTAACCTGAGCTAGTTATTCATCTCCTTGAAGAGCCTTGTATTGGAGGCGTGCTTGTATTAGATCAATCATAACCTAAAAATAAATGTGGAAATCTGGCCAGATTGCAGCGTGTCCAGCATGGGACGTGGCTGGCTCAGATTCATAGAACAGCTGTGTCAAGTGTAAACTAAGTTCCTTGTGTCAGGCATTAATGCAAATGGCTTTCCAGAGTCATAGGGCAGATAAAACAAGGGAGGAAGATTTCTTCTGGCCAGAAAACTGACATGCCAGGCTTCTGCCAAAAGCTCCAAATCCGTGCTGGCTCCGTGGCTACAAATCAGTTGAAGTCAGTGAGTCTGCAAGTTAATGCTGCGTCCTACCTGTGGCCCTAGATCTTGATTACACTCTTCTGTCAGTGAGCTGAGCCCCCACTCCTCTGGTAGAGTATTTATTGGCTCTGACTTCCCTGTCATCAGTCCTTCGTAATCTTTGTCGACCCTACTTAATCTCTTCTTTAGGATTACAACTTTTACTTTCCAAATATGGAGAAAGCCAGGGCATCTATTCACAATCCTTCCTTTTTCTTTTTTTTCTTTAGTTATTTTTTAGGTAAATTTAGGTACTGACTGGCAATAGGATCATGATTCTTGGGGACAGAGAAGCTTATTGTACTGGGACAGGAAAGATACACCAGGCAAATAGATACTTGAGGTGAAATCCTTCCTCTTCCCGTTCATGCTTTCACCATAGTCCCAGTTGCTTTCCGCTGGGTAAAAGTGTAGGAGCAATGTAAAGGGCCTCCAAAGTCATATCAGTGGGTGCATCTACATGTGAACTTTACTGCAGAACTGTCTAATTAGCTGGGCAGTAAAGCATTATCATTTACACATGTGCAGTAAATTAATTATTAGGGTGCGGTAAATTAATTAACTCTGCTGTAGGATAGTACTGTCTGAGACAAATTGTCGGGGTGGGCAATTATTTTGGGTGGAGGGCCACTTACTGAGTTTTGGCAAGCCATTGAGGGCCACATAACAGGCAGGCAGGGGCAGATAAATATTAATTTTCTCAGTTCTTGGGGGGCCCTGCGGACCGGATAGAATGGCTTGGCGGGCCGCATCTGGCCCCTGGGCTGCATTTTGCCCAGCCCTGAGTTACATGCACTGAAGTGCATGTGTAGGTAGTGACTGGCACTGGCTGGGGTACAAGGATACTGTGTGGGGGCTGCCTACCAGTTAGCCTCGTATTGTAGCACCTTCATGCACCAGCTAGCCCCTCCGCCCCTCCACAGTGCATTGAGCCAGTGTGGAGCAGCCCCAGGCTGGCAGGCTGCTCCTCTCCTGGGTCCTCTGTCAGCCAGGGCTGCTCCAGCCCAGGTCAACATGCTGCGGTCCCAGGCATACATGTAAATGCAGCACCCAGGAGCAATAAATTCTGCCATAAATTGCATTGCAGTTGATTTCTATGTGCTAATTGCATATCTATTTGCACCCAGTGTGTGGTAACTTGGCAAACATTAATTTTTCTTTTTTTTATGATGGACTATTTTTAATGGATGTTCTATTAATTAAATTTGTATTTGACTACTAGCTTAACTTTGTTTAGAAAGCTTACATATTTTTACTGTCTCCAAATGTACCAGAATGATTTTATGCAAACAGATTTACAGGGTTCGGAGGGAAAAAGTCCCTCATGGCAAGCAAGGTTACAGTTTAAAGTCCTCTCTACAATTAGCTCTGCCTTGTCTTCATGAACATGATTTGTGTGACAATGCAAAAGACATACAGATGTTTTTCTTTTTTGTTTTCAGATTGAATTTGGATTTCCTGAATGAAAGGCTTTTACCCTATTTCAAAACAAGATTCTGGAGAGAAGAGCAGAATGAGAGCTTCCCAAGCATCACATGCCTCCTGCTTCTTATCCTTGCTAATGCTATTCCTTCCAGTCACTGGAACTTCAAAACAAAATATCCCGAGACTTAAGCTTTCCTATAAAGGTAAACTCTTCAGAAAAGCTTCTAGTTCTGCCATTTATGTTTTGGTCGGGTGTTGCCAACAGTTCATTTTTGTTACGTATTAAGCAACAACATGGAGCCCAGTTGTCACCATTGTTTCTAAAGATACAAAGATAAAAGTTCTGCTGGGGGAAAGACTCATTAAACCACCTTCCTTTTTTAGGGGGTTGACTACTAAAGGAAAGTTTCTCTGATTCATTTTTGAAGGGACATAGTTTATAATTCTCCATAAGAACTGCAAAATAATTGTTGAACTTTGACTTGCTTTTTCCTTAAAACTAAAATGGCATTTATGAAAAACCGCAAGTAGATCACTGGGAAGGGAATTAGATAATTAAATGAGTCCTTGTGAAAAGCAAGAAAACAGTTCCTGTACTTTCAAATACTTCTATGCAGTCTCACTAAATGTTTCCCTCTGGCTGCTGTTTCATAGTGTGTCTTATTGTCTGATACCCCCTTTTCATTAAAGTTTGCATAAAAGCTCAAGTACAATTTTCTGAAAAGTCGTTATGAACAAAATTATATTTCACAGTCTTTTGATTGTGTAGCAGCTTATTTCCATATGAAATATGTTCAGTTTATACAAATATATAGATGTTGGATTTTTAGAGCTAATGGTTACACATTTTCATACCCTGGTTTTTTTCACTGATTTTTCAGACATTTAGCACACACCAAACATATTTTAGATCAGACAATATAGTAGTCATGCAACCCATCCATTTGTCTTCAATTTCTGTCACTGGTAGCAACCCTAAGAATGATGAATTTAACATAGAAATGCATTAATATGTTTAGTGACTATGATCATCTGGTATGTGGCCTTTGTCATTGCTCCTTATGCACAGAATGCTTGCAGAGTTTAGCAAGATAATCTCATTAATATTCACAACTTTACCTGATGATATCTTAGGTAGAATAACAATTCTATAGTTAGTTTTTTTTAAATCATGTCAGCACCCTGTACTGAGGGGAAGAGATTCCGCATTCAGTTACATGGACAAAATTATTTCTCAGCATGTAACCAATGGTAGATTTATTAGGTTCATGGGGATCTACAATGATGAGAGACCATAAAACCATCATTAGAGAGTCCAGTGTGTTTACTGTAAGCCATAACATGTACAAAGATTTATTGAATAAGTATTGTTTTATATGAAATGCTGTTTACAAGTTTCTCTTTGGCATTCCTTGCATTTGTATACATGCGCATATATGCACATTTGTATCTGTGTACATCCATTTATACGAGTGTGCAAGAAAGAGAGCTTGACAGTTTGTGTGTAATTTGGGAAAACACAGTCATTTAAGCCAACAAAGACAGAAACTAAAAGATCCAACACGGAGTTATGGATATTAATAGAAAGAAAGTTCTGCTTATATTCATACTTTTCTTTCAGTGTCCCACTGGATTTTAAGCAGTGCCCCAAAGTTAAATATTGCCTCTGATGAAGGTCTTTGCTGTGGGATTGAGCATCCTGATTAATGAATTCCTCTGTATTTCAAAGGCAGCCAACTACCTGCAAAATTATAATGGACACAGTTGGTGGATAGGAGAAAAGATAAAGATCATCAAGGTCAGCATAGGAAAAAAATGTATTTATTGGAATATTATTTTAAAATAGTGAAAGAGATTTGCTAGGAGTGGTATGGAAAATGTCTGACTCATTCTTAAAAAAAAAGACAATGCACGGATGATTGATATGGAAGTGCTACACCAAACTTTTATTAGCATCTTTATAAAACTTTGGGTTTGGTCAGAGGGATAGGTTTTATTCAAGCTCACCCTCCAATCCCTGCAGGAAAAATAACACAGAAGGAGGGGTGGGTAGGAAGAGAGAGATAAGCTAACATGCAATTCAAAATTCAGAGAGTTGGGCAGAGACAGATGAAGCAGGCATGCAATTAAGAATGCTGATTGCCGTGTTTACTCTTCCTTTTAATGTAGAACAAAAGAATGAAACAAAATTAAAAATAAGCAAAGAAAAAAACATTATTTAAAAGTTTGAGGGGTAACCAGCATGGGTTCATGCAAGGCCGATCCTGCCTGACTAATCTGATCTCTTTCTATGACCAGGTAACAAAGAGCTTAGTTGTGAAGGAGGAAGTCGATATCATCTTCTTGGACTTCCAGAAGGCTTCGACACAGTGTCCCACTCAATTCTGGTGGGCAAGCTAAGGGACTGCAGCATTGATGAATGCACAGTCACATGGGTGGCAAACTGGCTCCAGGGGTGCACCCAGAGGGTGGTGGTGGATGGGTTGATGTTGACCTGGGAGGGTGTGGGCAGCAGAGTCCCCCAGGGCTTGGTCTTTGGGCTGGTGCTGGTCAACATCTTCATTAGTGACCTGGATGAGGGTGTGGAGAGTACCCTGTTCAAGTTCGCTGATGACACCAAGCTGTGGGG